CAGAACAAAAAATAAATTCGTTCTCCTTCTCCAACTCTGTTGCATTAAGTGCCCAATTCTGATAGGGGAAACGTACTTTCCAACTTAATTTTTTTTAGGACCTTGTACTTCCCAGATTCTGGAACATTTTTCTTACAAAGGGAAACTTCAGCAAATGTGTTCCTTTTTTCCTTTTTGGGCCCTTTTTCCCCTCCAAGGGAAATTACTCCCGTTTTTATACCCTACAAACTCTGCGAAAAAGAAACCTAATTGAATTTGCTCGAAAGTGCCATTCCCTGCCATTATTGAATCCAAAGACTCCCTGCCCAAAAATGTCTACTCTTTATTGGTACGAGAAGGCCTATTTTATAACAAATCAAATGAACAGATTTACAGCTTTGTCCCTGAAAAAAAAAGAAAGAAAGAAGCTTTATTTTTGTGAAAGGTCTGGTCCACTTCCTTCTTAAAGTTTATTTTTTTTAATTTGGCCTTTATTGCTTTAATTGATTAGTGACAGCCCAAAGATAGACATGAAAAAGGGGAAAAGAAAAGGAGAGAGGGGATGACCACACAGCAAAAAAGGGCGCCAAGGTCCACATTTCGAACCCGGCCGCTTGCAGCAACTCCGGTAACATGGGTTTTCCAGCTTTTTTCTACGACCTGAGCCCTACCGGGTTTTGCCCTGGGTCCACTCTTTCTATATTAATTTCCAGCTGAATTCCTTGAAAAACAAAATACTCTAGGCGCCAGTGGAGAAACCCCTCCAAGAGCCCATTTCCTGCGACCCAATCCGAAATTAATATGCTACTTTGATGACTGAAAATTAACCTCCTAAAAAACATTTTTTTTTTGAATGTATTCTTGCATTTAATTTGTTTCTTCTTGTTAATTAATCTTTTTTAATGTGTTTTCTTTCCCATTTTGTTTTTCCTGTTTATTTTACTAACTCATTCACATAACACATTCACCACACGTGCACGCCAGTTGGGAGCCAAATTTTTGGGGGGTGTTCCCAAGTATCCCTTTTTGCTCAAAGGGATAATTCCAACAATGGTTGGTTGGAACCAAAGTTACACACTCTCAGCCCCGGTTTTTTTGCAGCCACCAAAAAAGACCTCTCCCACGATCAAGCTGCCAAAATCTGCAAGAGGTTTTTTAACAGCCCCGGAAGATGGCATATAATTTTAAACTTCCACAAACCCAAAGCTTTAATATCTTTAGGCCTACCTTTTTTAGGAAAAAAATTCGGAACAAACCGACAATTTTTTTCTATATAAAGATCGCTCATTAAAAAACGAAAAAACTTCTCAATAATACCCACAATATAAGCAGTGGAAAAGCAGACAGGTCCATTGAGAAAATTGAAATGGAAAAAGGTTCAAACACACTAAAATACAACTAAAATAGAAACATTTACTGGAATTATTAATCAGACATTTCTCAAACCAATCAAAAGATTAAACAAACAAAAAACATTGCCCTAGAAAAACTAACCAACACAAAGGCAAAATTGACCTCTTTTTTGGTTTTTTTTTTTAACTGTTTGCGGAACAGGTGTGATATGCAGCCTGTGGAGAATCTTGTACTCAGTCTCCCTCAGTCTTTTACATGTAAACGTGGATTCTATTTACGAGAAATATTTGGCAATTCATATGTGTCATAGGAGCGAAGAAGTGAATAAAATGATGATAAAAAAGGTTTTAGAGTTTGGCGCACCAGTATAAATCTTTCTCCATCACTATAAGGGAGGTTAACAAAAAAAGAGGTAACCTGAAAAGATCTAAAATGTCTCATTTGCAAATAACCAAAGAAATGCTGCTTCGGGTAGATTATGGTATCGCTGTAGGTATTTTTTGACTAATGTGCAGATTGGGGCAAAGTTAAGTTTCCATAGATCCTTCAGATCTGGGGGTAATTTTTATTTTGATTTGAGGTGTCTAGCCCCATTCTTATCTATGAGAGAGGGGATTACATTTGGGAGTTTTACTGCGAGCATGGCAAGCATGTTACCGGCCAGGTTTATTGCCTGTTTGGCAAAATTAATTTGTGTCTCTGCTTTTGTGGTGACTAACAGATCTAAAGCAGATATCTATTGTGGAATTGATTGAATTGAGTCTCCAGATTGTGTATTGTTTTTTCTAGATCCAGTTGTCTCTTAAGGGCATCTCTTTTCTGCTCTGGCGTATAAGATATAATAGTCCCACATATGCAAGCCTTTGCAGTTTCCCACAAGATAGAAGGGCTTATATCAGGAGTTTTCTTTTTGTCATTTGCAACTCCTGTACAATATTTTACATGCAAACAAGGAACATTTTAAGCCACCTGCTGCCAGAGCTTCCACTGCCAATCTTTAACAAAAATGATTGATTGATTATTGTCTTTTTCTCTGTCCTTAGCTCCCAACCTGAAGGGCCGTCCCCGGAAAAAGAAGCTATCCAACTCTTTGTTTCGTGACTCTCAAAGTCAAAAGGAGTTAGAGGTTAAAGGTCACTGTCAAACATCACTTTTTTCCAAAGACACTGACGCAACAGCAGGAGGAACCACAGTCAAGGTACAAATTCAAGTATTTTCTGGAGTAGTAACTAGTAATTGCATTCTTAATTTGTGCATTTTTTGATAGAGACATATGTACACTCATTTCTCTGTCCTGCACTTTTTTTCTTCCAGTCAACAGCAGACAAAGCAGGCTTATCCAAACCCAGAGGCAGCATTGATGGCAGTAACAGGATCAATCACAGTAGCCAGACCACAACACTCGCTCTGTCAGATGAGAGAAGAGGAAGAGGACGAGGGGTGGAGTACAGAGCGGAGGAGCAGGCTTTCCTGGTCTCTCTCTATAAATATATGAAGGAGAGGAAGACACCAATTGACAGGATCCCCTATCTGGGCTTCAAACAGAGTAAAAGACCTCATGTATTACAAGTAATAAACTGGAATTTTACTTTAAAAACAAAGGAAAAAGATAGACTTGTTAACGTGGAAATCACTGATAGTAACACATCTTTGTGTGGATATTATTTATTCATATATGTGTCTTGTTCCTTTTGTGTCTGTGTGATAGTAAACCTCTGGACCATGTTCCAAGCTGCACAGAAGCTGGGAGGATATGAACTGGTGAGTTTTACAGTTTTTCTTCTAGTTTACAGGGGGCAATCATCTGACATGTAGTAACCGAGTGTAAAACTATCATAACAATCTCATATTCCAGATAAACAGGATTTGAGGAGAGAAATGGTCAACGCAGTAACATAATCTGGATCCATATTTGATCAGCACTGCCTAGTTTGACAGTTTGTTCTGAGTTTGGTGCATTGAGCTGGACGGACTCACAGAAAATGAGCTGTCAATCAAAAAGTAGCCGCGCCCTAAAGCATACCCTGCTTTATGGTCTATTTTACTGTAACTGGGACCATCATTTATTAAATGAACATCATGCTGTATGGAAGAAGACTGAACCTAGAGACCAGAAACTACAATAATCCCTCAATAAATTGTTGATAAATAGTTTATGATACAACAATTACAACTCATAAAACCTGGATTTAGGTTGCCTCATTAGAAAGTGGTAGCATTCTGTTTATTGTTGTCTGTGTAGATTACAGCTCATAGGCAGTGGAAGAACGTCTATGACGAACTGGGAGGAAACCCAGGCAGCACCAGTGCTGCAACTTGCACACGTCGACATTACGAAAGGTCAGTGTGTTCACTAATGTGTGCATTTCACTAAAGGACATTTCCAGCTGAATGGAGCTCTTTGTTAATAAGATGTACTCCTACATTTGATTTGTTCTGGCTGAGTTTTATTTTCACATAATAATCATAGAACATTTGTATTGTCCTCAGTGCAGAGCTTTGCCATGAAGTCTAATGCTGTTTCAGAAGCCATGCAGTGTGCCAAGAATAAAATAACTGTTTCAGTGCAGCTATTCATGTAGCAATTGATTCTCTAAAAACAGCTCTTCAGCTCTACCCTCTCTTAACTCGAGCACATCCTTAAAACACCAAACAGCTCAAAGTGTATTTCAACCCCAGAGGGCTCAGGTAAAGCTTGTACAGTGCCATAATGGATTAACAGACTTCAAGGGATGATTTCAGCAGTTATCCTTTAACCATTTCCCTAGTTTTTCCATTAGGACAGTTGACATTTATTTTTATTTTTACATTTCAAGCCTCCACACCTGACAGCCATGGCAGAATGCGTTATGTCTTTTTTCCATGAACATGATGTCTCAGGAACGCCTCAAGGGAAATTCCTTCAAATGAAGGATGAACTGATTAAATTTCAGTGGTCAAAGGTCATTATGACCTCATAAAACACGTTTTTGGCCATAATTCAAGAATTAATTTGCTAATTATGACAAAATTTCACACACATCTAATAGGATAAAATTACTAACTGATGAAATTTTCTATCCAAAAGGTCAAAGGTCAACTTCATTGTGACCTCACAATGTCCTGGAAGAACCCATTGTTTTTTTTAGGTGGCACAAGTGGGGCACTGACTTATGCAGGGGTGGCATGAAGTATGTGTCAGAGCTTTCCCATTATTCCCTTATGCCATTCCAATACACTCTAGGGACCCCAGTATGAAATATTCAAATACACTAGGCAAAAATATATTTATACTACATTCAAAAAACTGCATGCGATTAGCATTAAGTGGTCATGTCTGCAAAGAGGAGATTTGTGGGTACCTATAGAACTAGGGATGTCCTGATCCGATCAACAATCAGTTACAGTTTGCAGTAGTTTTTATCTATCTATCTATCTTTTACCTATTGAAATATTTGTGAAAGATTTGTGATCATCTCTTCTCCAGACTCATTCTGCCCTATGAGAGGTTCATCAGAGGTAAGGAGGACAAGACCGTCAAACCCAGGAAACAGGAGGCGGGCTCAGACAAAGAATCATCCAATAGTGTCTGTACCCCCATCCTGAAGACCAAGCCATGTCCTGATAAGAATGAGGATCACAGCAGACTAGTGAGTCTCTCTTAGTTATCTGTCAGTTCACCCGTCATTTCATTGTCTTTGCTGTAAGCTGATAACATGTGCATCAGAACATGCATACACAGATAAGAACATAACCTCAGGCCCTAGAAAGTCCATTAATCTAACATACAAGCTTCCTTTCTACCACTAAATGTCTCATTTTATTTTCAAACAAGTTGTTCCACAAAATAACCATTATGCCTGTCATTGCCTCTATACTACAGTAAAAGGCAATTAGTACAATTAAAGCAGCAGGAAATGTATATCAATTATGAAAATTATGAATTTATAACAAAAATCTGTCCCTGTTTCATTAACCTCTTTTTCTGATTCAAACACCAATTAAGCATAATTTAAGCATTTTGTAATTGCTTTGTCAAACAAAACTCCAAGGATGGAATACAGGACCAGTATGTAAGATTAAGTGGCATCTAACAGTGTAGTTACAAACTTAAACTCTCACTTCACCCTCCCCTTCCAAGCAGAGGAGGAACTACAGTGGCCACAAAACACGCAAACGCCCCTATCTACAGTCAGTGTTTACTGTAGAAACATAGCGGTTCAACATGGCGGACTCCATGGAAGGTGACCCTAACCCTAACCCTCCCTCTGTAGATAAAACAGCTCATTCTAAGGTAACAAAAACATTCCCATACTCAGGTGGTTATACACTAATATAAAAACAAGAAGTCATTACCAAGCTGCTGAGCTGCAGATGTCATCATTATTTTGTGATCATAACGTTCATTACGTAAAACTTAAATTAAAAAAAATATTAAAATAAAATTAATAATATAAATGAATTATTTAAAAAGTGTTGTTACTAGATGTTATGCAGTCTACACTAGTTTGAATGCTTTTTTACTCCTGGTGAGCTCCTCAAGCGCTAATAATAAATAATAATAAATTCCTATTTTCAGGTGATTATACACTAATGAAATCATACCTATGAATATTATATTTCATTTCTGACAATAGATAATCCTAAATGTTACACACTGAACCTTTTAGTGAGTGAGTAAAAGATATAGTTGTGTACCTACAGTATTCTTTACAAGCAAGCCAAGATAAGTAAGGTTACTCGTTCTCTCCCTTTTTTGTAGCCACATTAAGCACTTTGCCCACATATTTTCTTATGTCTCATTTACAGATTTTCTGTATTTCCAAATTCATTTGTTTTTCTTGTCTGCCTCCCTCTTTTCACTTAGCAGGAGTTGATGGAACAGAATTCTCAACTGAAACTTGAACCCCAAATCTGCATAACCCGTTTGGATCCCCTACAGCCTTCACATAGTTTGGGAAAAAGAGGAAGGCCAACACAGGATTGTCAGATTGAAACCGAGATCCAGCTGATGCTGGAACAGGAAGATAAGGTGAAGAGGAAGAGGAGGTATAGTGGGTGTGACCCCTCCTACCTGAAAACTTCTCCAGTGACAAAGGACAACAAGAGTGTATTTCCACTTGCTGCTCCAAAGATTTTCAACCATGCCCACTCAGCGGTGGACCTGTGGCAGCATCAGCAAGTACCATTACAGGATCAGGGCCATATTGGGAAACCAAGAAACCTGAAATCTCCAACAATCCCGGAACCCCCCAGTGAACAAGCCGAACTACCAAGGACAGAGGACACTTCTTCAGGCTTCACAACTCTCTTTGACTCCTCTGGGGTTAGCAATGCGATTATGTCTCCACTGGCCAAGAAAATCCACTGTCGTTCCAACTTTGACCAGCCCCCTCCACTCATTAACTCAAGTTTAACCAGTTGTATAACGGAAGAGGCAGCAGAGCGACCAGCTGTAGGCGCAGATTCCTCAGTGGTGGAACTCAGTCGCCCTTCTGTGATACAGCATGTGCAAAGTTTCAAAGTCGAGAAAGATAGAGCAACAGAGATTAAAGCAAGCACACCTCCTCCTTTATATTCTCACGGACATTTCCATCATGTGCTCCCTTCTCTCTACCATCAAAAACAGCCTCGGTGTCCGTTATCACCTCTGGTCACTCCTAAAATGCCCAAATCCAGCTGGACACCTCAAGGCTTCCACAAGGACCTCTCCTCATCCTGGTCACAGCCTCATCATTGGCACAGGGCAGCTGATAAAGGTGATGGGGTGATTGATGCTGAGTTAGTTCATGATGGATCTAAACAGCCTCATGAGCAGGGAGCTACTCTCTCAAAAGACCCCGCTAGCTTGGTGGGATTCCTTCAGTCTGCTGATGATTCAAAGTACTCCGCCCATTCTGATCTGGAAAAATACTGCAATCCAAGAACAACAGCATTTAATGAGCAACCCACAGATCTAAGTCTCCCAAAGTCCTCTCCTAAACCACTTACCCATTCCTACACTGCCTGTCCCCTCAAGTGTTCTGCAAGGTATCAGGAGAGTACCCCAATGCTCTCTCAGAATGGACTCGCAGCCATCAATATTGCACATTACTCTATAGCAAGGCAAGTTCCCCCAGTCCTGGTGGCTCCTGCAAACACATGCAGTCCCAGACAACACCCAGCAGTTGAACCCTTTACTAGAGCCACTGAGGAAGCAGTGAATGGTACAGTCCACAATGGAGGAGGAGTAAAGAAACAGAAAGCAGGAGACGAGGGAGAGCAAAAACAATTTGAAACGGCACTTTACAACAAATTGCTGCACAATATCTGTGGTGCACGACCCTTCAACGAGCTTGGAAACCACATCTCAAAGAGGAGGAGGCAAGCTGTTACACCTGCTCCTAAAGACCTCCTTTCCTTATCTCCTTCTAGTAAGATCGAGACACCCAAGGAATTGGATAATAGTTTTGGGCGAGAAAATGGAACCTATTTCTCAAATGTCCGACACCCAGCTAGCGGGAAAATGCAACCTATTTCTCAAATCCCCGACACCCTTATACCCGCAAGAACCCTTGCACTCACTCAGGTTCAGGACCTATGCAGGAACACCTTGAGCATTCCCTATGCTATGGACCAACCGCACTCTTCGGACTCACACCTCCAAAACCCACGTCAATACCTGAAAACTCAATCAACTGACTTTGTTTCCCCATTGGTCCCACCCATTGCCATCTATCCTTCGATCATACCAAGGCAGCTATTGGATCAGGCAGCTGCCAGTCCGATACACATCTACCAACAGACATACGGGAATGTGATTCACCATCGGCTGTATTCAGTGTCAGTCAACCCACAGCCCACCTCCAGCCAGCCGCACTTAAACTCAGTTCAGCCAAGCACCAAGCTGCCATAAGGCTGTGGCACTGGGCATTACTCTCTCTCGTTACTCAGGTCTAATTGTTTCTGATCACTGTGAGCAACAGTAAGTGTGTGGAATACAATTTTACAATACTCATCTGGATCACATGGATATGTATAATGCAGAGTTAGATCCTGACTCTTCAGAGTTTTTATTTCACAGAAGGTTCATACGAGAACCTTACCTGTCTTGTCTTTGCCTTGTTACAACAGACAGAACATTTTACAACAAGTCTTTTTTCAGAGAAGACATTAAACATGTCAGAGTAGGAAAAGCACAGCTGTGAGTAATACATGTGATCACTGGTAAATTCCATTGCATTCTCAGGTTCCCTTGTATTGTGCATGTTGGCACTTCCAAACAGGAGGGAGACAGATTTAATAAAGGGGGTCCTGGTCTTTCAGTTGGGATGTTGTGTTTTGTCCCCAGTCTTGAAGGGCTTATGGATTCTGCAGACTACCAGATGTCACTGTGCTTGCTGTGTTCAACAAAACAAATGAAAGCTTCAAATCTTTTTTCCGCATATACAGGGAGAAAGCCTCAAAGCTTCATCCACCCAGCACGAGCTCGCTGTCGCCTGACACCTGAAAAGAACAGAGCCATTGTTAATGTCAGTAACACCTGTGCTTTTCCTACTGTGCCAGGTCAAAATGTCTGCTGTGAAAAAGGCCCGTCACCATGGCTGTATTTAGAGATTTTGTTATTTCATGTCACTTTTATAGAATGAGCACAGATTAGTGTGCTTAAGTGTAAATGTATGTTGCAATGGTTATTTACTTGTGGCAAACAAAATTATATAAGGTCATATCATGATTCTGCCAACATTATGGAATGAAACACAGGTCAAATGTAAAAAATGAAATTCTCCCAGAGCACCTAATATCAGTGTCACCAGCTTGTACACACAGTAGCTTTCCTTAGGATACACTGAGACAGAAGCTTGCTTTCACACAGTTTTGTATTTTATGTAAAAACACACATTCCTCACATATTTTCACAAAATCATATTATTATAAAACAACCAGATAATGTTATAACCTTATAATAAATAAAAATCTTTGAATACAATATAGGGATTTGTAAAATACAGGCCTCACAAAAATCATTTTTCCATTCTCCACAATTTCCCTACACAAACACATGCTTGTACAGGAAGGTTCTGCTACACTGGTTTCTTCTGGCAGCCAAGTTCTCTGCCATAAATATAATCTGAAGTAACATTTCCCACCCTATGATTCAGAAGTTAAAAACAGTCCGTCCCACTGTCAGCTGCTACTTGTTGAATTTCACTGTCAGTAATAACAGTGTGTGTTCAGAGTGAGCCTTGTCGAATACACAGTATCGGCTTCTCATGAACTGTACCAAAACTGCTACTGAGGTCTGACTGCCAGTCTTTGGACAAACCTGCCAACTATGAGTGGCTCTGCATGTGGCAGTCTAAAGACGCCTTCTGGCCAAAGCTGCAGCTGCACTCTTGGCACTGATACGGTTTCGCTCCTGTATGTTTCCTCATGTGGACCACCAGGTTGCCTTTCTGCGCGAACGATTTGTGACATTCTTGGCACTGATATGGTCTTTCTCCCGTGTGTATCCTCGTGTGATTGACCAGGTCCGACTTCTGACAGAAGTTCCTCCCACAGAACTGGCACTGATACGGTTTGTCCTCTGTGTGAATCTTTACGTGTCTTATTAAAGTCTTAGTGAGGGAGAAACATTTGGTGCAGCATGGACATTTGTAGGGTTTCTGTGCCGTTCCTGCTTCAAACTGAACTATGAGTTCGGTGGAATTTGCCGAAGGTCTTCTCGGAAGGATGTTTTTTACATTGAGGTGTTTGGGCTCTGTCTCGCCTTGATTCACTGAGAGGAGCGGCCGATCGTCTGTGGGGTCATCTGATACACCACCATCAGCTCCAGCCAACTCAGTTTTAATGTGATCGACTGGAACCACAGCCGGTGTGTCTTTATCTATGTCAGCGACGGTCTGGATCTGGTAAAGACAGAGGGGCTGCAGCGACTCCTGATCGAACTCATTTTTATCATACGGAGTGATAGTAAGAGGAAGAGGAAATGTATTAATGCCAGATTCATCCTGTCTGGAGTCTAGCTGTTCTTCGGTCCTACCAGCAGGTGTTACTGACCTGAGTGCATCCACCTTTTCACTAAAACACTGATATGGTTTCTCCTCAGTGTGTTTTTGTCTGTGAACAAGCAGACTGTCCCTCTGGTCAAAGCTTTTGTCACACTCTTGGCACTTGTATGGTCTGGCACCTTTGTGTGTCCTGGCGTGAATGATGAACTCAGACTTGTGGCAGAAGCTGCGCGCACAGAACTGGCACTGGTACGACGGTGATTTGTCATCTGGGTGCTTTTTGATGTGTCGCACCATAGTCTTTTTGGAAGAAAAGCCGCTCAGGCAAATGGGACATCTAAATGGTTTCTTTACTTTGAGAATTTTTAAAGGCGTGTTCAGGTCACACTCCTGCTTCACATCATCATCCTCAATATCAATCAGTATCTCCTGATCACTTGGATCGTTGCCACTGGCAGGAGAGGAGTCTGGACGAGTGCTGTTCATGTTGGGGCCGTCTTCTCTCAGCTCTGACCTGTTGTTTTCTGGTTCCCAGCATGCACTGAGGTTCACCCTGGCGGCAGGCAGCTGTTGACCAGACTGCAACCTCACATCTGTGGCAGACATCTGGAGAGTGTCTGAAGCAAATTAGAGGACAATATTTATTTCACAGATTTATGAGTTAGATTACGGTTTGAAGACTGGTTTGTAAAATGTAACTGAACCGCAACACATGCTGACGACAAACAGTGTGGAACCCACACACCAAACATCATGCAATTTTCACAAACACTTCCCAGATCGGCATACTGGCTCCTGTGTTTTAGCAAGTCTTTCTGTCTATGTGTGTGCTACAGGCATCAACTGAGACAGCACTTCGTACAGCCAGTGTACACATGGTTCTTTCCCTTGCTCTGCTATCTTTATGCTCCAGGTCTGTTCTTAATGGAGCAGCTTGCGTCTCTGTAACATGAAATTCACTGAATGTAAAGTGAATGTAAATGGCTGTATTTATTGCCGATTTAATAAATACATTTTTAAGGAAATACACAGCAAAAGTAGTAATTTGTGTGTTTGCAGTTAGAGAGCGAGGGAGGGAGGCAGCCTGTTAAACTCCATTCCTTGTCAGACAACTGAACTGAACTATGACGATAGCGACTAAATACTATGTTGAGCAGAAGTCATTAACAAGCTGCTGAGCTGTAGATGTAATAATTTTTCATGATCATTACATTGTCAAAAAAAAACTAAACTACAGGTTAAAAATAGGTTAAGATTAAAAAGTGATGTTACTTACTAGATGTTACTGGGTTACAGAAGATTCACTTGTTTTAGCATTTTGTATTTTTCAGTTTTCAGGCCTGCAGCTAACAATTATTTTCATTATTGATTAATTTGTTGATCATCTTCTCAATTAATCAAGTAGTTGTTTAAAGTCGCAACTCTTGTCTAAATGTGTGTTTTAGGCTTAAAGGACCCGCTCCCTCTGTAAATAAAAACAGCTCATTGTAACAAAAACACAATTCTTATTTTCAGGTGATTATACACTAATGGAAAGACACAATGAATATTTTATTCCACTTCTGACAATATATCCTCCTAAATGTTACACACTGGACTTTCAAAGCTCAGCTACTTCTGTGTTTTTTTAAATTAGATCCATGTCATGGTTTCCTTTTATAAAAAGCAAACTTGTAATAAACTGACCTTCACTATGTGACTTGGCAACATCCAGCAGTCTGCGGTGGCTGTCCACCACCCACTTTGAACAGGATATTTCCTCCTCATACTCTATAATGGTTCTCTCCACAATCCTGAAGATCTCCTGGGCGGCTGCAGACAGACACTCGCTGACGAGCGCCCTCAGCAGCTCCATCTTTGCCGTTTTCACCATGGTGAGGTGTTCTCCACAACCAGAGTCGGGGTATTCGTTTACGAAGCAGACATGAACCCTCCAGCCTCCTCGTCAATACTGCTCGCTCCACGGCTCCACCTGAACTTCCTGTGTCCTCAGATCCCGCCTTGCTCTGGCCATGTCTGCAAACACAACATCCTGCCGGCAGTGAGAACCAGGAGGATAAGCTGGAGACCTGGAGGATATTTAACGGTAATGTGATGGTTTACTCAGAAGAAAGAATGTTCATTCAGATCTTCTCAAGTGCCTTGATGTAGTGTCTGTTTTAAATGAGATATATTGAATTCTTTACGCAGAGAGCAGCAATATCAGATTCTCAATCATCTCGACCCAAAAAGGTAGCACTTGAATACTTTAATACTTCACTGGTACTTCAATGTACTAACAGTAGAGGAACTGAGGAGCTTCTGAACATTGTTTAAATAATGCAAGGGAGATGATTTGTTCTTTATTGATTAGCTGATGAACAACAACTTTGATAATCATGTAAAAATGTTTCGTTCAATCTTCTCAAATATTCTGTTTTGCTGCTTTTGTTCGTCTCCTACGACAGTAAAGAGAATATCTTTGGGGGTTTAGACTTTTGCTCAGTTCAAACAAGCAATGAGAAGACATTACTTTACCGTTAATGAATAAAATGAAGTGATAGAAATTGGTCTGACTGCACAGGACAGGTGGCTGTAGTGTGCTAAAATAAGAAGTAGTGCAGTGCCGACGATATAGTAATTATTATTAGATATTGTGAGATGACTCACTATTAATGGGGATTATCATTTTTTTTCATTACACATTTAATTTCCACTGAAAGAAATCCAAATCATAATGATGTGACATTTTCTGGGGTCTGTACCAAACAAATACGTTAATATACATATGGTTCACGTTGTTACACGTTACACTGAGAGAGTGCTGATTCTATTGCTTGTTTAGTTTTACTTCTAGATTCTGAATCATTTCTCAGGAGGCAGCTAACCGTGTGTGTGCCGCTTTAACGGGAGTGCTATCAGACATCCATGCTGTAGAACTATGTAACGTTACGTTTATCGGCTAGAAAACGATAAAGTGGAAGAACTTTTAATGAAGTTCGGCGTAGTTAGCCGCTCACACCATTTGTAGCTACATGTCGGAGATACACACATTGCTAGTTTTAACGAAACATAAGGTGAACCAAACTGAGCTGTTCCCATCCTGTCAACCACAACAACGGCTGAATTAAAGTGCGTACCCTGCTGACACTGACACTCTTCTTCTTTTCTTCTTCTTCTTTTCTTCTTCTTCTTGTAGCGGAGTCAGCTTTAGCTTTAGGAAGGCTAGCTAGCTAGCTGAGTTGCCAGTTCACACAGTCAATAGTTCATACTAACGTTAGCTTGTGAGAAACTCACAATGCTGACTAGAGAACACAAGCTTTGGACTTAGACTTTAACTTTATTAAGGTGCATTCCCGGCTGGCCAGACATTAAAGGCTCCACAGCTAGCTAGCTAGCGCTACGTTACGTTACACAGTGTCCAGGGTCAAGTTAAGTCATTATGCTAAAACATAGCGGCTGCTCTTTCTTCTTCGGGTATTAATGACGGTTGGCAAACCATTACCGCTACCTGCTGGACTGGAATAAAAATGATGAATGAATAAATAAATGACTAAATTCTCTCTATTATTCCAGTTATATTTAAATAATTCAACGATTATGTACTTGACTACATGTTCTTGTATATTGTAAACACAGTCTTCCAGTGTTAACGTACATAAGTCCAAGTATTCCTGTCGAGTTTAGCCTATATGACCCTTTATGATTGTTTTAACTTCTGTTTTACTTGTGTATCAATTTGCTGTTGTTTTATTGGTTGTTTTGCCAATATATCCACCTTCTTCTCATTTCCAAGTTCCACCCCTACATGAGCAGGAACCCAAAGGAAAGACACATCCAGTCCCCTATAATGTATAGGCTATTTATAAAATAAAGAACACTAGAGCAGGCTAAAGTTCACATTTATAAAAAGAAGAGAGATTGAAAGTGTAGATTTTATAAAACATTAGTCTGGGACTGTCTGCCGCCCTTCTGCAGCAACACGTCTTGGTTCTCCTCAGAATGTAGCAAGGGCTGGGTGGATTCAGACCGTAGAAAAATGGCCTGTTTGGGAGCTTGGTGTCTGACCGTCCTGATTGCGTTCACCTCTGTTTTTTATTGAGTAAATTAGTTCTTTTTGTGTGTAATCCATGTGTTTTCCCTCCTTCAGTTGTCATTTCATCCTGGTTTTGTCCCTGGCTACTTTTTTCCCCTGTGTTGCCTTGTTGGATTTTTCACTTTTGCTTTTCTTGGACTGGTATCTGTTTATCTGCACCTGCCAGTAAGTTGTAATAAACTGAACTCACTGAGGCCATCCTGCTGCCAGTGCTGTCTTGCATTTGGCTCCAATCGTGCCAAAAAGTGCAAAAGTGCATTTAATGGGTTGTATTAGCCCTTTCAATGTATTTCTACTACAAAAGTAGTAAAAATACAAGTGTAGTACATAAGACTGGGTGAGCAGCTGCTGGCTGCAAAAAAAACATATAGGAACAATTAGGAGCGATGCATCAGAGGATCTCAGGGAGCAGGAATGGACGTAGGTCAATGGAGTCTTTGTGCATTCGAGTTCATGTACGTGTATTGTGCACCAGAGGGTGCCATTTACCTTCCATAGTTTTTGTCCTTTTTGTCCATTTTCACACCCTCTCTCCAGCATCTGAGATTACTCTTTGTTCCACACAACAACTATCTGATAACTCCCAAATTTTGTTTAAATACACCCCAATTAAACAGAGTAATTAATAAAAAGTTAGGGTGTATTCAGGGCTGCGGTGTCCAGTGGCAATACTTAGTAGAAATCAGCCGAAAAATGATCAGTAATGAAGCCATAAATTAAATAACTCTGGTGGATGCTTATTTTCCAGGCCATGTGCATGTGAGCACTAAACTACTGTGCAACAGGAGTAATGAGAGTGATTTGTGAAGTGGAGAACACAGGGCTGCTGCTCCTGCCCGTTCCTGTTGTTGTGGGGTGGGAGTTTCCAGCTATACAGCTCAGGGGAAGCACCACAGGATGTCCTTTTCCTCATTCCTCAAGGATAGAATGACTCTGTGCATGTGTGTGTTACTGTGTTTTTATGATGGTTAACATGTTTCAGTATTATGCGATTTCTGTCAGTTGCTTTTATTTTGGTGCAGAGTGATGGGTCCACACACTGTAATAAAAATCAGATGTAGTCCAGTCAGTATTAACTACCATGTGTATAATTGATATAATATAGTGTGATTGATAACATAGTTAGTTCAACTCATCAAGAAATAAATGAAATTCTTTAACTTTTTTATTTGATTTTTATTTGTAGTAGCAGCCGTGATATTGTGGTATTCTGGGTTTTATTATAGCCATGGTCTAAATCAGTGATTCCATGAGTCCAGGAACACCCATGGGATCCACGACATTCTGCCAAGGGGTCTGTGTACATTTTCATGTTGTTTTTTCTTTCTTGCATGTTTATTTGTTTCTCATGAAAAATACTAAAGCCAATCAGGGCCAAGAAAGATAGAAATATACTTTGGGTTGAAGTCTAGTTGATTGTTGTTTTATTCCCAGGTTTGCACGGTTCAGCCAATGGTTTATTGTTTCATATTCATTGATATTAAAAATTGGGTATTCTATGTTGACATAGTGTAAATATTTCAATACATGTCTAATATCTTTCTAATACATATCTCTTGTGTTGATGATCATTCCAGTTTGTTATAACCAAGATTCTTGTTAATGTCATTTAACAGACACAGATTTCATTGTCTCTCACCAAATTGGGCCCTTTTTTTTTCTTTGACGATGCAGCACAAAGTTAAAACTTTGGTGTGCAAGAAACCATAGAAACTCAAGGCTTTAACTACCTGCTTTGTTTTGTCTGTCCCTGATGAGAATCAAAATACTGCAAAAATTATAAATTACATTTACAAATTAAGCAGGGTTATTGCACTTCAAACTTAAATGTACAGTCTGAGGGAAAGGTTTCAAACTCAAGGGGCAGGGGATGGTTTATACAGTCCAGTATGGTCTTGCAGAGAAGATAGCCATCAGGGGGTTCTGTGGGATACCGGTCACCTTCCCAAGCCACCCTTAACGTGTGTTCAGCGATTTTTTTATGTCTTATATTTAGGTTGCGGTACCATCAATCACAAAGAAAGTAAGAACAGATTCAATAAAAGACTTTCCTTCATTTTCCCATCCACATAAACTTCAAGGAAATGTAACTTCTTTCGGAAGTAGAAACGTTGCTGTGCCTTCTGACAGACTGCATCAAGTTATTATTGATGACTATTCTTAAGATATTTATACTGTTTGATAAATTAAATGCCAGTTCTTTTGATGAAGGTCTGAGATTGTGGGTGGGATGATTTCCTCCTGAAATCAATGACCATATCCTTGGTCTTTGTGGTATTTTAATTTTAGAAAGGTCAGTGCTTGAATTGGACCAAAAAGGGTGCCCAATTCAGCACAACCCGAACCCTGAACCTAATTCTTTTGCCGTTTTTCATTCGGACACTGAGAAAGGCCTTGTCACGCTATTTAACAAAGTCATCTACGACCGGCCTGTGCTCAGGGTCATCTTTTTGGAGAAGGCTGATGATTACTTGTGCGAACAATAGAAAATGTAATGAATGTAAATTCAGACTTGGTGTGCAAATACTTTTATTTTTGTAGTTTTTGTAGTCCCCTAACCCTAACCCTATAATGTTAATGTGCTCACCAAGTTAATATCAGATATCTGGCAATAATAAAGAGAAGTCAGACAAGACAGACCTTCCATGTGTTGCTATTGTGCATGTTGGCTCACTGGAAAGGCTCTGCTACACTAACACTACACTTGGTAACACCTGTGTTTACCCTGTTATTTCATGTCAAAATGGCTGCTGTGAAAAAGGTCTATAATCGCATAACAGTGGTGGATGGAACTAGCATTCATTCACTTTTCTGATTTACTTGAAATTTGGTTTAAAATTTGTGTGGCACAGCTTATATGAATTGGTGCAACTTTAAAAATTATAATTTACCTCTTAAGGGTGGGACCTACAGTATATGACAATAAATTCCTTTCTGTGTTTCACTTTGCAGCTGGGACTCGACTGGTAGTACCCCTGCTCCATTGACAGTTTACTAACACCGCTCATCAATGGGAGTGTATGGAGCTCATAGTAAAGCAGTATGAAGGAATGAGTGTGACAGCTGCTGGGGGAATCCTACTACACCATCAGGTCACATGGTACACACATACTCTATCCCTCTGATCCCTCTACCCTCCCCTCTGTCTCTCACCAACGCTGTATGTACAGTGAGGGAGGAGGGTTTTAGAGGAAGGGGGAGGAGGGGGAGCAGCTGAGAGGGAGAGAGAGCAGAGCAAGAGAGAGGAGGAGGAAAAGGAGAGGCAGCGAGCGGCGTGAGCCCAGATTACAACCAACCAGATACTGAAGCAGGGAAGACAGAAGCGTGTAGGACAGAAATAAAGGGATACGAGCTCCTCTGACATATTATCTCCTTCTGTGTCAGTTGAAAAGAAACAGGGGATTACACACAGGTTGTGGACAGGAAGAGGGAAGGAGAGTGAGGAGAAGGGGGAAGAAAAAGAAAGAGAAGTGCTGTGTTTTCAAGAGTGATCGTGTCAGAGGACAGTGCTGTCACAGAGAAGGAGGAGGAGGAGGTGGTGTGTGTGAGCGTGTGGGTTTGAAACACACCGGGGACACGAGTGACACAACATTGAAGCTGTGTGTGTTTGTGTGAAGTGAACTCCCACCACACCCCTTCATCATCAAAACCACAACATCATCTGCCGAGAACCAACCTGAGGTTTCACAAGCCATGCTGAGGACCAGGAGCCAGCCCAAGTCCTGTTGAACGCCATGGCCCAGGTGAGGAGAGGCGCTCTCTCACACACACACACA